GATCCTTCCCTTCCCTCCATTAGAATGTCTGACGCTAAACTTCTCGAGAGCAACTCTCTGCGGCTTCTCAGTCTCACGTTGACTGCTGACCTGAGATGGAATAAATATATCGAGTCAATTGCCTCGTCCACTGCAAGGAAAGTTGGCTCCCTGAGCCACGCTAGGAAGTTTTTCTCCCCTGAGTCGATCCTCCAGATATACAAATTCACAATTCGCCTTTACATGGAGTATTGCTGCCATATATGGTCTGGCGCCCCTTCTGTTTGCCTCGGGGTTCTTGATAGGCTCCAGAGGCGGATATGCAATGTGGTTGGCCCTGCCCTGGCGTCTCGTCTACAGTCACTTTCTCACAGACGCGCCGTCGCCTCCCTCTGTCTGTTCTACAAATACTTTCATGGAAATTGTTCCGAGGAGCTGCATTCGCTGGTTCCCAGACGTCATGAATTCCAGCGCCCTACGAGGCTGGCATCCCGCTCTCACCCCTTCACTGTCGAAACTCCTAAATGTAGCCGTCTCTTCTACTCTAATAGCTTCATGTCTCGCACCTCTCGCCTGTGGAACTTCCTTTCCCTTCTCCTGTTTCCCTGTGAGCTATAATCTCCAGCTATTCAAGTGTAATGTCAATCGACATCTCCAGTTGCCTTGATCTATCCACTATCCTTCTCCTCATCCTTTCTTCTATCACTCTTATCTGATCTTGCTCTAAATTTTCTGTAACCCCTTGCGTCCTAGTTGCTTCCCGCCTTGCTTGCGGTGAAATGCTTAAAAAAAAAATATTAGGACCACTTACTTTCTATGTGCCGTGTCCTTTCAGGACGTAGGTGACCATGGCTCTCCACCTCCTTCTATCCCTTGCAGCTCGCAACAAATTCCTTTCTTCTTCCACCTCCCACAGACCACGTTTTGTCATCCATTTGCTTAAAAGTCGTATTTTCTTGAGCTTAGATGAAAATGTGAAAAATTTCCAACCTATTTCAATGCAAATTTCCTTTTCCAAAGTTATAATTTCTTCTTCTTGTTGTTCTTCTCTTCAAGGCGTGAGAGATCATGGCACCCCACAACATGGAGAGATCATGGCTCTCAAAATATATTTATTTGAAGCCATAGAATTGTGTCCTAAATGTTTGCATTTCAGCATTAGATAACTCATAAAGGTGTTCGTATGCAGTTAAACAAATTCAATCAACCAACAAGGTTCAATAATAAGATGGTTAAAAGAATGAGTGCGTATACTATGATTATATTTTTCGATGAACAGGAAGTGAGGATGAAATAGGAGTTCTGCAAAAATTTACCTACATCGTTGGCATTGCCCGAGTTCAACACCCGAGTGAAGGGCGGATATTTTCAAAGTTTTACCTGATATCCCATTCTCACTGCCACCGTAATTTACTTCCCAGCGAAAATTTTCTATCAATATTTTCACGGTATTTTTTAAAGGAGCTTTTTTTTATTTTATTTTATTTTATTTTTTTGGTTGGGTGTACCGCAGTTTCACGAATTTAAGCACAGTAATCTGCGTTGTGGCGTAATATCGGCTCGAAATGGTCAATCGGAGAATCGATTCGAATTTCAGTCGGCTTACGTTATATCCCCTAACATGCAAGTACATTTTTTTTAACCAATTCACCCCAAGCAAGGCGAAAGTGCTACCAGCACGCAAAGGGTTTACAGTGGATTGAGAACAAAGAGTAAAGAGGCGTGTTTGAGGAAAGAAAACAAAGCTGGACGGGGAACATGATTAAGGTTTCTAGATGTTGATTGACATTACACTTGAATATTAAAAGATTATACCTATCGGGGAAGCAAGCAAGAGGAAAGCGCTTCCACAGACGGGAAGTGCGAGAGAAGAAGCTGTTTGAGTAGAAGAGGCGGTTATATTTAACCCTTTTGGGGGTGGGGAAAGCGTAGGACCAAGATGCGAGCCTAGTAGCTCGCTTAAATTCATGCAGTCTGGGAACCAGCGAAAATAGCTTGTCGGAAAGGTTGTCGTGAAAATACTTGTAGAAAAGACAGAGGGAAGCCATGGCACGTCTGTGGGAAAGAGATTGCAGACTAGATGCCAGATCAGGACCTATCACATTGCATATTCGTCTCTGGATTTTGTCGAGAACTCTTGGGAAAGGTATGAATCTCTTCCCCGACTGACTCAGCTACGGTTTGAATAACAGAATTGATCGAGTCGTATAGCCTTGGTTAACAACCAGTATGCTGTAGAAGTAAACAGCAAACTCCCGCTGGAAAAAGTTCTGTCAAGTGAGTCGTGAATCGAAAGCGATATGATCGCCTAAGTGTGTAACACCTATAACTTTTAACAGAATGATTAGATTAACAGCTTTTTTGTTGTTGGATTTTACTAGATGTAACCGTAAGTTCTATATTAATGGTTTCTTCTCTCGGACTTCCCTCTTATGGAATTTACTTCCAGATTCTTGGTTTTAAGTTAGCGTTGATCTTCAGATATTTAAATGCAATGATTCATTGTATCTTGTTCTTGTCCTTGTCCTTCCTGTTATTTTCATCCTTTAGTGGCTTTTATTGCCTATGCTCTGGGTAAAATGATTAAAAACAGAATATATTTAGCAATCGAAGACACAGACTATACATGGAACACCAGACAAGAACGGCCACAATGTAGTGATAAAAAATGGCCTCCCACTAAAAACGAAAAAATAAATAACATAACGATGAAATTAACAAAATGAATAAAAATACAAAATTCTTCATTTGTTTCCAGATTCTGAAACATTTGCATGAGATGTGCAAAATAATTTCATCAAGTTATCATCTTCATCATTCGTTAGATAGATAGATAGATAGATAGATAGATAGATAGATAGGGGGATAAAATTATTTTATCTCCCTAAAATAGTCTGTTTATTCGTCAATTTGCAACGAGCGACAGCTACAAGCAAATTAAGTGTTGAATTGTAGGGTATTGAGTTCAAAATTGGAAACTGAAGGAGCTGATAAC